CAGGTATTTTGATAGTTAAGCTGACTTAAGCTGACTTCGGGCTTCACAGAAGGGAGGAAGATTAAAGAGAGAAAAATTCGACAGGGGAAAAGGAGAGCGATTCACAGATGTAAAAAAGACCGACAGACACAAAGGCATTGAAAAGACTAGATGAGTACTGTGGAAGGGGTCGATAGAAATAGCAATTCCTTCGTTTAACATCGTCATTGTGTTTGAAGCCTCTTTCCGATGGTTGATTTAAAGTAAAGAAACTTTCTTAATATTCATGATTTATGCCACAATACAGGGAAAAATACTGAAGCATTTAATACGGTGAAATACGGATAAACTAAAATCAAGACAAACTTGTTTGGAGGTGAGTTTTCTGAACCCTGGTGGTTTCTATACAGCCTGCTAGGACTCATGCTAGTAGAGCTCCCGGTATCTTGGCAGTTGGTCCGAGTAAAACTGTCATTGGTCCGGGAGTGGAATGGCATCATCGTTATTCCTCTATATGTATGTCGATGATGCAATTGCTAATGTGCACAACTGATACGTGAAAAGTTGTGGGATAAATGCTCATCCAATGGCTTGAACAACCTACCGCACTAGTTAACTGATTTTAACTAGAGATTCTGTAAAATGCGAGTTTCCTGTAACAGAGGTTCCAGCTAATTGATAGAACATTTTCTTAAAGGAGCTTTGAAAGCTTTCTCTATAAACTTGTGATTTTTTTCGGCTTCCTCTTATAACTTCTGTTGAATTTTATAAGAAAATACGCAAACCAATATACTATTTTGAGTATTAATGTTTGGAAGTGAGCTTAAAGTCAGTGTTACACATTACAGAGAAATTCAATGCAGAAATCAATGACTTCATTCACCAACTAGAATTAATCTAAATCTAATAGTTGCTTTAGGACCATATAGAGATTATACAAACTATTTCATTTATTCACTTGTTTTCACGGGTCATATAATATCGATTGGTGAAATAAGAAAAGTAAATTCTTAGAGAAGGGAGGAGGGCCTTGAACGAGAGATATTCTGCGACCTGCAATTGTGGTTCGGCTCCCCATCTCGTTAAAATTTATGTCCTTATTATTTTGGGGTTGGGGGGGGGTGCGATAGGCTTACCTCCTCGTGGTGCACCCTGGGTAACGTAGACTCATACGGCCAAAAGGTCTATCAACTGGCAGTTGACCTCTGACTTCAAACTACCATGATCACACTGCATGTCATATTCGACCCCTTCCACCGTACTCATCTAGCCTCTTCTCTGCCTTTGTGCCTGTCTGTCTCTTACATCTGTGATACGCTCTTCTTTTCCCTTGTCAAATTTTTCTCACTTTGATGTTCCTCCCTTCTGTGAAGCCCGAAGTCAACTAAAGGGCTATTGATAACTATCAAAATGCCTGCCGTTTGAAATAAATATAGATATTTTTGAGTTGGAGCTTTGATGTCAAATAGGAGAGTAAACTTTGAAAATGTATTAATTTTTAAAACAGAAAAAAATCTATTCGAAAGTTCTCCATATTATTCCATTCAAATTCGTCGGGCTGTGCGATATATTAATTTAAGTCAATAATTTTAGTAATGTATAATAAGAAATGTTCATTAAACGATTTCTGAAAAAAAACCTCAACCCTTGTAAGCCATTGCTGTCGTCTCTTGTTTCAAGTTAGAACAGGGAGAGTAGTATATGCGTAAACATGGAAATGTATTCGGAAGAATGATAAAAATTGCCCTTCTATTTTACAAATGTCCTTGCGTATCTTTGGACTTTAGTAATTAATCAAATCGGATTGGTAAAGTGCACCCGAAGAAACCTGCAAGTTTATCTTGGCGGACATTAAGGTCAGTGACTGCACTACGATCGATCTTATAATTTCTTACTAATTTCATTCGTAATATTATGTTTTTAGCTTACCATACGGAAAGAGGTCAAAATCATCGCCATTCGCAAAATTTTGGGAGACCAATTACGTGCTTGGAGCAATGCGCCAAAAACGTCATACATTAGCATTCCATTATACTGCAATAAGTACAAGAATCAAATAAACCCAAGAGTACAATTTCGTCGTTATTTAACAAGAGAAACTACCACAATTGCTTTTGAACCAAAAAAGAACTACGAAAAGTACTTTAATTAAGCTAGTTTCACCTCAAATTAATCGTACTATTGGAAGTTATACATTCTGAAATTTGAGATCTTTCAATAAGGCCGAAATACTATTAGGTAATGTTTCTGCCTCAATGGTCCTCTAGTCCACTGGATATCGGTAGATAACCTTTGATTTTGATCTGGAGAGAGATGAAACAAAAGTGCGGTTACTCCCAAGACACTTTATTAACTAAACAAGGACCCTAAACAAATGACCACAGGTTGTGTTTATGCTGTTGGTGTTATGATAGTAGTTTATGTTCCTAATGCCTATTAACATGTCAGAAGCGGAGTGCTACCACCTATTGGCATGAATGATGGGCTGTTTAGAGACAATTAATGAGGTAAAGCATAAACACAGCACCTCTGAGCGATGTTTTGACGGCATCCTATCAAATAACAAACTCTAAGTGACAGATTTTTTTACAAAAACTATTATCGATGGCTTAGTAATGCGTTCGAATTCGAAGACCATGTAATCTATAAAAATATCAAAAGCCTTTTTTCATTTATTTAACTCATTCAGGTAAATTTTAAATTTAACCGAAGAATAATTTTCTCGAAACTGGTCTATGGCAGTGTAGAATTATTGTGAAGTCCATTTTATTAGATTAAGTGCTACGGTTGCGTGGCTTTTCAAACTCGAATAATCTTTTGCGAAAGCCCATAAATGCAGTGGAGCGAAGAGAGGGAAAAAATTGCAGGAGGTGGAGGAGTTGCATTGGCTAAGCCATCAAATTCATTTGAGACAGAAATCTCAAACAGTCTTTCCAATCTGCCTTTAATTATGTCAACCAAGGCTGTCACAGCGGATAGTCCCAAGTTCAGGAAAACTGGTCAAAATGCTAACATTACCATTATCAACGCTTTTCAGATTAAGTGAAAAATATGTATTTATTTCAAATGGTAGACGTTTTGTTAGTTTTCATTAGCTATTTAGCTGACTTCGGGCTCCATAGAGAGGAGGAGAAACATCAAAGTGACAAAATGACGAGACAGATTTAAGGGAGACAGACTAGCAGAGAATAGGTAAGATAAGTACTGTGGAAGTGGTCGAATATGACGTACAGTGGGGTCATGGTAATTTGAAGTCAGAAGTCAACTGCCAGTTAATAGACTTTTTTGCCGTATGAGTATACTTTGCCCAGGGTGCACCACGTGGAGGTCAGTCTATCGCGCACCCCTTAAGTGAAAAATAAGAACAAAAAAATGTAGTGTTGCGTATGGTATACTTGAGCCTTCTATTGGGTATGCTGTCGAATTAATTTTATCTAGTCTGTGATTAAGGAAGTCATAAGGTAGCTGTTTCGGTGCCTGTGGGGATCGATAGAATTACCATGGTCCTTGGGAAGGCTACACGGATGAGCATGCAGCCCTTCATTCCGTTTTATTAGTACCGGAAGGCAAGTTTTACAGGTCCGAATTCTCCAATTGTAGCAAGCAGATGAATGCGCATTTAGAATTCTTGCCAATTTAATATTTAACAAATACCTGTCTATGGGGCTCAAACACACAATATAAATTAGTTCCAAATTGGAGCCGAGGTGTGTGGTTACTTTGCTAGCTACAGACACTTTAGATTTCATCAGTTATGAGGCGCGACCTGTATTTGCAGACAACAGAAGGGGTTTTGTCTGGTTCTTGAACCACTAACTTAAATGAGGCATCAAGTCTATTCAACTTAATTAAAACTATGCTTAGAGTTATCTGAGCATTAAAAAAATGGGTCCTCATCTTAGGCCAGTTAACGGCTAAATGCCCGGATCTTGTCGCAACTTCAGCCGCTGGGGTTTAAACTAAAGTCCTGAAAGGATATTGAAAAAATCTCAAGAAATGAAGATCAAACGGATCTAAACCTCTATTGGTTTTACGTAGAAAGCGTGGTTTAAAGGAAGAAACTTCGATTTCATCTTTCCCTTCTCCACAGTTTAAATCAGTGACATGTCCAAACAGGTTAAAAGCCAACAGATCAAAGAAGAGAGACTGCCTAGATACTATTGAGTGCATGGTACGTTTTGATAGTGCTCAAGCACCGCTGGAAGATAGAATGCCGGGCAGAAATTCCCCGCTTCCATAATGAACAAATTCGTTTTCAAACTGACGGAACTCCCAGTCTGAATGGATTATTCGAGATAATTCGTCTATACCAGTCTATAATATTTCACCAAGCTATCGACGGGCGAACTACTTTATACCTCGCCATATTTAAGGCACTTATGCCAATGAATCTCAGTGCACCAAGTACAAAAAACCAAAACCTGCATGAATCGCCATCTTTTCTTACTGTTGTTTAAGTATAGTAAAAGCCGATAAACTACCTTATTTGTCGGCATAGTGTCCCAACCCCCTTCAGTTACTGTGAGACATAGTTTAACTAAGCCGCCTACCCACTACATCCACAACCATTCCAGTACCCAGCCTCCGCTATCAATATTACACAAATGACCTTGAATATTAGCTTTTGGTAACTATATTAAGAAGATCCTAGCATGCCAAATGAGTGGGAACAGAACTCCTACAGCAACAAACCCGTTAATGTCCTCCAAAACCTCTAATTGAGTGCGAGTTTTAGCTATACAGAGAACAAGTTCACAAAAATGGTATTCCACATATATATTTTTTTCAAATCCTCATCTTTTAAAACAGCATTTGCTTTAATGAAACTAAAAAGGCATTCTGGCAAGTATGAAATGCA